TTAATATTTTGTTGCCCAGAATATAATATGCACACATTGCATCTATCAGATTTTATTAGCTTGCAAAAATGGAACCATGGCAAGTTTTGTGCTGTGGGTACATAAGTGCACATATTACCAAGTGCTAAAATAAGACCCTAAAACGTGTTGCTTTATGAACCATTGCCTAGTCACCACATTACATTGAATTAGCCCAGCCCCATTCTAAACCTAATCTACCCTGTAAAGAAAAGATTGCTATACTTATCTATTCTAGTCTCCAATGGAGGCTTCTGTGTAGAGGAAGAAAGCCAACAACGGCTGGGAAATTAATAGAAGATGTGACCCATAGGCTTACTGTAAGGTATTTGTTGTCGGCTGCCTCTGGTCTACACAGAAGCCGCCGCTGACAGTTCAGCCTGGGACCGGACCAGAGCGACTTCAGAATAGGTAAGTATAGCAATCTTTTCTATACAGGGTTAAATAGATTAGGCTTAGTATAGAGCTGGGAGTAGGTTTATTCCACGTTTTGGTTGTTATTCCACTTTAAGTTTCTTTTTCTGATTTTATCTCATATTACTGCATTCTTCAGTTTCAAAACTGGCAGGTTACATTCTTGTAAGTAGGGCAGTATTTCTGATTACAGAAAGATTACAGAATTAGATGGCAGCATAAAAAAGTGACGTAAAGATAATGACAAAGGCTGAGAAATAAAAGGTATATGAAAGCAGCAAAGATGCCTGAGACTAAAAAAAACATACACTACTAATATATTCAGGCTTGTAGTTTGCAGAACTGCAAAGCATCCTCTGCTATGAGGGCGTATACAAAATCTGTCTTCCTAGTTTATAGGCTCAATAAAATACATTTTTAAATGTTGCTTGTAGAACTACATGAAAAAAGTTGGTAAAAGTACAAGATGGATCCTTATGGTAGAAAACGTATATTTCATAAAACTACCCCAGCATTTATGTATTGTAAGACATTCGTTTTGTGTCCCAAGTCTAAGTTAAAGCAACTCTGTTGTTAAAATCAGAAAAAATGTAATTGTGTTTTTTGGTAATCTTTCCTGCCTGCGTTGCAAGTTCTTACCTGACTTTGACTTTAAACAATTTATACTGCATTGTCAGTTTGAAAAATGTAAATAAAAATTTTAAAGCAGAAAAAAATTGAAAACAGACTGTCAGTAATATTTACCAGTCTGGTGGCATTGCTGTCATACACAGCTACACTAGCTAAAGAATCTCCATCACCTGACATTTCTGGATATGTAGGATACCTTCCTCCCCTGCTGCACATTGTGGTTCCTTGCTGGCCACTTCATCACTACAGCTCTGCAGAAATAGAGTGGTGACCTAGGGACAGGGCCGGTGCTTCCACTAGGCAAACTAGGCAGACGCCTATGGCGCACTGCCACCTAGGGGCACCTGGGCACAATGCAGGCTGGCACTCTCTCTGTTTGGGACTCCGCTATGTCATGAATGATTATTCAAATGAGGGGAGGGGCAGCAGAAAGGAAGAGAGAAAAGACAGAGAAAGATGCCAGGTGTCTGGGCCAGTGTAGCAGCTGAGCTACCGCTCCTTCCAGTGTTCCTCTTAGACTCAGTCCCTTACTGCAAGCCGGCAGGTCGCTGCTGATCAGTGTGGAGTTCCAGCCCTTCTCTTCCCATTCATCAGCAGAGGCTGAGCTGCGCCTGTAGAGGAAGGTAATGTCTGACTCTGATGTCTTGTGCCTGTGTGAGTGTGACCTGGCCAGCCGGCCAGCCATCCATCACATGTGCAATGTGTTAGTGAGTAATGACATCATCACGATCCCACATCTGACCCATTGATCTTTGTCAGTGTTGGTGGTGGTGTGTTGTGTTGGATCTGTCACTGTGCAGGATCCCTCAGTTCAGGTGTTCTCTGTTTGTGTGTCGACTGGGCTGCCTGCTGTCACAGCATTTTATCTGTGGATCCATCATCCTCCCCTCACTGCAACTGTCACCCAGCCACTGCCAGTCACAGATGCAGTCCATCCGTGACACTGATTTTGTCTCTAATATTGGTGCTGGTGGTATCTTAATGCACTTATTTTTGCAAATTAAAAGAAATGTAGCAGTATCATGTTTTGTTTATTTAATATTTTCTACTGTTTTTTACATTTTTAATTTTTTTTATTTTTTGGAGGGTGGGGGCGCAAGTAGCTGGTCTTGCCTAGGGCGCGAAATAGTCTAGCACTGGCCCTGCCTAGGGGTCAGTAGGAGGAACCACAGCATACAGTGGGGGACACAGACATCTGACACACCCAGGAAGTGTTGGATGCTGACTTTTTTTGGTCACTGTAGCTCTGCAAGTGAACCTAGACTGGAGTACCAGTGAGAGTGGTAAGTGTTATTACTCTTCTATTACGATGGCTGTTTTTTTTAACTTTTTTTTTTTTCTTTTTGCGGAGTTGCTGTAAAAGATAATCTGTCACCAGGATAATGCAGTTGTATCTTTGAATGTTTTATAACAAAAAATAAATGCTTTTTACATTTTCTAATGTAATGTAATCTTTTGTTACAATAAACAGTAGTGTAAAACACAGGGAAATAAGGTGACCTGTGCGTAAAACAAGGATTCTACCTTTGTAAACGGCATTTGTGAACCTTTGACTAGTCATCTAAATGATTATATACAGGAAAAAAATCCTTCCCATTATTTAACAAAATTACAATGCTAGGCCCTTAGGTATTATAGTGTTCATCACTGGCGTAGGTTATATAAAAAAAAAAGTTGGGGAAAAGGTTTAATTGCATTTTACAATGTAACACTACAAAAAAAAAATCTTCTAGTCATTGACATTATTTATGCCAGATCCCAAATCATCCTTTGTCACTAGAACCTCACAAGAAAGTGAGCTGTCTTAGTGACAGCAGATGCCTACTTACTATATACATGACTCATACACCTCATACCATAAGTAGTTTCAGTTCATGATAGATAAATAAAACATTTACTCAGCACCCACTAGCATATGCATAGCTTATAAATTGCCTTGATTATATTTGTTGTACAGCTACTCTTTCATTTAGGGAACTTTAATGTTTATTCTAAGCTACAAACCTTTACAAATACCTGTTTTAATGTATTTTATAAATTACATTTGATCAGGGGCGGACTGACCATTTGGAAACTCGGGCACTGCCCGAAGGCCCGGGGTCAGTAGGGGGCCCCATGAGATGCCCCTGGTACCTTTTTCATAGGCTTTTTTGAGTTTGGGCAAGGACACAGGGGCCCCATGATCCCCTATTGCCCGGGGGCCCCATGAGTTGTCAGTCCGCCCCTGCATTTGATACATTACTGTTTTGTGTTGTAAACAGCAGCCAAAAAAAGGTGTGAAAAGTCTGCTATGTGTCCATGCAATTACTGTTTTCACTGAATAATAATTCAAAATGTAATAATCAATACAATAAATATAAAGTGACCCAGCATTTGTCCTTCCCTATTTTTCTTATCACATACGTTGTATATAATGTCTTTCAATTATTTTAAAATAAATAGGTCAAAACTCATTCTAAATAGGTCAAATTGCCTACGCAAAACACTTTTCTACATTATCAACCTTCTTTTCAGTTATGGACCATCTTCCACACTGCTGTCAACTGCAGTCACAAAATTTGGAAGAAAAAAAAATATACTGGGAACTAGGTCAACTAATGTATGTATGTACAGTAGCATTGTATGTAGTGAATAGAATTCAAATATATTATAAAGCATAAATACCACAGTCCTGATTACTTAATAGTATACAACTGTAAGCATCCGTTTGGGGTACCTAGTATTGGTAGGGACTGCAATGAAGTTATAATGATAGGCAAACCTGTGTGCAATTTATTGTAAAAAGAGTTGAGTGATTTGGACCCAGATTAAAGGATGCTACAATGTTATGGTATTAAGTAAACCCAGGACAAATAGTATGTCAGATCGCCCACCACTGCAAACTATTCTATTCCTTTACAGTTGGAAATATATTTCCAAAATTAAAACTATTCTTCACCAACTTCTGGTTTCCACACCTGGGCTGTCACACCAGCTTTCTTGGCAGAAAATTTAGGCCTTGGAGGAGCGATCAGTGGTGTTATCGGTGATTCTTGTCTAGGCTGCATAGGATAGCTGATTCTGTAGGTTTCACTGGATGGGGTTAAAGCACTGGATTGGTAAGATGGTTGTGCATTGTAGGCTGGCTGAGAATTTTCAGTTGGTGGTACGAAATTACTACTAGGAGCAGCATTCACTGGCTTATTGAACGTAGCTTGTTTGGTAGAAGAAATAAAGTTTGACTTAGTGTTTTTCTTAGGAGCTTCAGTATCAGAGGCAGTGTCAGATGGTAGTTGAAAAGTGAACAAAGATGAGTTAAGCTGATATGGTTGGTGTTTCATGACCTCAAGAGCACTGAGTGTTTTGGTGGGCTTTTTCTTGGCAGCCGAAGATCCTGTTTTGGAAACAGATTTGTTTGCTGCAGGGGGATAAAGTGGTGACTGGATTGGATTATATGCTAAAGGAGGAGGTGCTCGAACATTAGATGAATATTTCCAAGATGATGGTAAGGATGGAGTTGGAGAGAGTGGTCGAGCTGCTTTTTCTTGCACAGTTGTTGAATCCACTACAAACTTTTCCATCCGGGATTGTCTCCTTGCAAATAACTCAGCTCCTTTACCTCTCAAAGCTGGCATTTCATAAGCTGTTCCAACAGCAGATGTTCCTGATGGAGTAGTAGGAGGTGTTTTTGGTGTATACAGTTGATTTACTGCTGGAGCTGTTGCTGGAGGGCCTCTTAAGGGGCCTGATAAATTAAGAGACGTTGGGGGATTGTAAGAATTATATTTTGGTTGTGGCACATTAGCTTCCACAGGGATTGCATTTTGTGGAGGGTTTTGACTTGAAAACACTTGTGGTGCTGGAGCAGTGGTTGGAGGTGCCCATACTACTGGAGCAGCAGATGGAGGGTTGTAAGAATTAAATTTTGGTTGTACAGCATTAGCTTCAACAGGGGATGCACTCTGAGGAGGATTTTGAATTGAAAACACTTGTGGTGCTGGAGCAGCGGTTGGAGGTGCCCATACTACTGGAGCAGCAGTTGGAGGGTTGTAAGAATTAAATTTTGGTTGTACAGCATTAGCTTCAACAGGGGATGCACTCTGAGGAGGATTTTGAATTGAAAACATTTGTGGTGCTGGAGCAACGGTTGAAGGTGCCCATACTGGTGAAGTTGGAATTGCAGTAGGGGACTTAACCAAAGGTTTTGGGGCAACAGGTGGAGGTGTTTTTTGCTTGCCAGCATGAGAGTGCATAAAGTTACATGCCTCTGCTCCTAGACTGAGGTAGTCTTCTTCAGGTCCAGACTCATTGCCGGTGCTACGTTTGCCTTCTCTGGTCTGAACAAGAGAAAGAAGTGCAGGATTTGGACTTATTTTAGGCTGTTCTTTAAAAGTAAACATAGGTTTTGTGCTCCTACGTTTTGCTTCCTGTAAAATTCCTGTCTTGTTGGCTGGAACTGATATTCGTTCATCTCTGGAAGCTATTTGTTCTGTTGAAAATGATGGAGCCCATACAGCTGCTTGGGCTTTGGCAGGCACTGGTGAAGACACTTGAAACCTTGGCTCAGGAGGTGGAGTAACTGATGAGTAAGGGGGTGGTGCAGGCACATCTGACATTGGACTTGCTATATTTCTAGTAGGAGAAAATGGTATTGCTGCCCTATTCTGTAATCCCCCAAAAGGTTTTGGGGTTCTGTTAGGTGGAGACTGAAATGAAGGGATTGACTCATATGCTCCAGCAAAACCATTCTGTACTCTTGTTTGGCTATTGCTGACCTCAATATAACTTTTACTCACGCAGCTCTGCATTTTTATGCTCTGCTGTTGCTGTGTCTGAAGTGAAACCGTATTATTTACATTCTCTGTGACAGACACCTTCTCTTCTATACTATGTTTCCGGAGTTCTTCTTGCTCTGCTGTAATTTGATCCATCCTCTGCTTCCTTCTTGCAAACATGAGGACCCCTTTACCTTTGGTCTCTGGAAGTTCCTCCATTGCGTCACCACTATTAAGTTTCTTTTCGACCTCTACAAGTCCAGTATCCCAGTCAAATGTTACAATTTGTGTGTCGTTTTCAGGATCTGAAAAAAAATCGTCATCTAGATCTGACTCACTTGCCCCATAAAATGTAACATTGAAAGTATTTTCTTTATTCTCTTCGTCCTCGTTATCGTCTTCGCTATCCTCCTGCCGTTCTAGTTCACCAGTACCGTAGCTTGTCAAGGTATATTTCCTGGCCCTTTGACGGCGCTTCTTAAACATCAACACCCCCTTGGAATTGGGGTTTGGGGCAGCTGTCAGCAGCAGAGCAATACTTTTACATTTAGACTTGGCTTCTTTAACTTGCTTTTCGGAGAGGCTTTCACTGCGCCTAAGCCCTAAAAATAGATTTGAAAAAAAAAAAATCAATGATTAAGACTTTCGCCACACATGAAATTTTTTCATTACTTGAATAAATATCTCACTTATTGAAGCTACCCTTAGCTATAAGCTGACAGAAACCCAATAGGCAGAGTTAAATTAGTCAATGGTAGATACATTACTATACAGTTGGGAACTGGGAACATTTCTCTTGGGGGACAAACACAATCAACTGGTAGGGACAGTGTTTTGTGGGCTACAGAATGCAAAGTGCACCCTGGTGCTGTAGTAATTGGTGGACAAGGTAATAGGTGGTTGTTACAAAAGGATTCTCACTTCTTTTAGCAGCAGTCTTCTGTTTCAGCTCTTAACATTTGTTCACATGACATCTCTGGGCTGCAACAGAAGTTTATCTGTTGGAAGCTGTGATCACAGTTCTGGGGAACAAGTATCTGCACCAGCACAAAAAAACTTAATGATACTGGTCCAAGGGCCAGTACCACCCTGTCTGCAGACCCTCAATTTAATATCTTTTTAAATAGTAGAATTGTTTTCTCCTGATCTCCTTTTTGTTTTCACCAGCTTTGTCTACATAGCCCTTTCCACTGCATGAACATTTATGAGCAGGAAATGCAAGCATGCACGTTAATGAAACAATTGTTTTGAAAAAATATTTTCTGTAGAAGCACATCTTGTATCTATGACCAGATTTACATTTAGATAAATGCATTTCATATTTATTTGCACTATTGCCTAAAGCATTTAAAGTGGTTGTAAAGCCTTAAGGTTGTTTACCTTAATGCATAGCTAGATGCCTAGGAGATCCAGCGCTGTGTATGAGAGCAGCAGATCTCGCAGTTCTGTTCCTCCTCATCGGCAGATTGACAGCAGCGGGAGCCATTCCAGTATTTTTTTGGGGGGGTATTTTGGATCTTTCTTACAGTCCCTTTAAACTTTACAGGACAAATGACCCATCCAGCCATTATGCAGCTGGTTTATGAGACAGTTTAATGTATATGGGTCACCAGCAAACAAGCATTTAATAGGGAGTCAGACCTTTAAATTTAGGAAATCGTGTCTCTTTGGTACCAGATAATGGGCCAGCAGTCATTTTCTTGCAGTTACTGGAGTATTTAAGGTTCAATGGGAGAAGTTAGAGAGAGAAGCAGGTTGTGAAATGTTGTGAATCATTCTCCCCAAAAAGGACATTCTCTGCAGGTTGGACATCATGACTTACTGCTCCACAGTAAGTTGGAACCCATTATTGGCAGAAACAAAACAGAAAGGTATAATATAACCAGAAGAGCAGAATAGTCATTATTTTGAAACGGGAGCCTGCCAGAACACCTGTTCCATGGTGAGCTCTCCAACATGATATAAGGGAATATATATTCCCACATTGTTGGGAAGCCTCTGTACTATAATGTTTCCTATTGAGATTCATTAAGTAACGTTGTTGGAATGCAACCTGCACTGACTGGACATTCTGTGTCAGTATGGGCTATGATAAAAAGAGAGTGAGATGGTCAAGTGTGCTTATCACCCTGGTGGAGTCTGTGCAATGACAGCTGGAGAATTATGTGTCTATCCTGTGACCTGTCGTAGTAGTATTGGTCTCTTGGTCGGTGTTGGGGACTGTACTTTGGAAGCCACCATAAGCGAGAGGGCCACTAAGGCTCTGTGTGTGCATATGGGAAGACAGAGAGAAACAACCTATGTGTCGGGAGAAGTGAGCTCAGTCTGAGGGCCGGTCCCTGTGTTGTATGTAATTAATAACTGTAGACTAGGCTGCTTACATCTACACTACATTGCCAAAAGTATTGGGACACCCCTCCAAATCATTGGATTCAAGTGTTCCAATCACCTCCATAGCCACAGGTGTATAAAATCAAGCACCTAGGCATGCAGACTGCTTCTATAAACATTTGTGAAAGAATGGGTCGCTCTCAGGAGCTCAGTGATATCAAGCATGGTACCGTGATAGGTTGCCACCTATGCAATAAATCCATCCGTGAAATTTCCTTACTACTAAATATTACAAAGTCAACTGTTAGTGGTATTTAAACAAAGTGGATGCAACTGGGAACAACAGCAACTCAGCCACGAAGCGGGAAGCCACGTAAAATGACAGCGGGGTCAGCGCATGCTGCAGTGCACAATTTTGCAGCCAACATTATAGTGCTGAATGACAATAGGGTTCAGATTTGTTAAGATTTGTTTTTGTGCTACTTCTAGTTCAGGGATCCATGAGAGGCATCCGCTATCCTATCAATGAAGGAAACTAACTGCCACAATAAAATGAGACAATTTACTATCGAGTTACTTTGCCAAGCCTTTCAACAAAATTGTACTGTTTAGAAATACACTAAAAGTTGAGAAGTTTAAAATGATTAAGGGGAAACTATTACCAAGAGGGCAAAACTTTTGTTTTCATTCTGCATAGCGTAGAAAAGGGTTAAAACCACTGTCAGTTTTTTTTTTTTTGCCATCTGTGTCTCATTAAAGTGATTTCCCTTTATTTCCTGTCCTGTATATTCAACAGGAATTGAGAAGGTATCTTTTCATTGTAAGAATTATCCCCTTGTAGACAGCTTTCATGAGAAAAAGTGACCCCATTCGAACATTTCCCTCTCTATTTCTGTTCTGATGGTAACTCAAATGTTTGGATTTACCCTCACCTTCCCAGTGACATTGGTGATCAGGACAATTTGAGAAGGCAAAACTCCCTTACAGAAACACAGACAGCAAAAAAAAAAAAAAAAAAAAAATGCTAGTGGTTCTGTCCTTTCACCAGACTATCTGAACCAAAAAAAAAGTAAAGTTTTGTCTTTTTATCTATAGGGTCTTTTCATGCGGGTGATCCGATCAGGTCTGCCTGGCAGTTTTTCACCTGATCGGAAGCTGCCCTATGGACAGTCAGATGTATATGGACTTTTACATTTAATGACCTCCAAGTTTGTCCAGATCCAGGAGAAAAAAAAAACAGAAAAGGACTGCATCATTTTCTGTTTTTGCTGACCTAAATATGACAGATTGGAGGTAGCCTGATGTAAACGGAGGATGGAGTCTGTTTACACTCAACCACCCATAGAGCTGTCATGGGTCCTCCCATGTCTGCTGAGCACAAACTGAATGGGCACGGATGTTAAAAAAATGACATCTGTCCTGTTCAGCTTTGATTCAGCAGATCTGCTTACAGATCCCCCGCTGATCTGAGTATACTATGCTCCATGTGAAAGGACTCTTTGTCATTCTTTAAAATGTATGTATATTCAAAACTTTTCTTTTTAGTTTTGAATAGTGGGGAAGGTCCACATCCCCTTTGGGTTTTTTATTGTGGTCTGTATTTCCACTAGTTAGACAGAGAGTGGTGGATAATCTAAAATTTTGGAGTTGTCTTGATTTGTAGAAATTTCTTCATGCTTTTTGTTGCATCTCCAGGACAGGAAGGAAAGAGAAATCACTCCGGCAAGACACATACAGCAAAAAAAAAAAAAAAAAACAACTGGGAGTTTAAAGCATAAGTTCACCTATACAAGAAAAATAATAAATGCACATTTTTTTGCAGGTAAAAAAATATACATTTGTTATTTTTTTGTATCGAGCCTGTAAAGCATTGTACCGATGATCAGCAGATCATGGATGTAATGCCACGGTCCTGCAGAGTGTCTGTGCTGCTGTCTGCCCATACCTCCGATGTAGGCAGGCAGTTACACAATGACAGAAAACTCAATGAACTACCTAGATAGCTCAGCAGCGCTCAACTTGTAGTTTTCCCATTCACAGAATACTGTGAATAAATGACATGGCTGCAAGGGTGGAGCCCTACACAGTAATTTTTTTTTTAAGATTGTGAAAGCCAGTGGGGGGAGAAGATCCCTGCTAGCTGTCAAAATGGGGGATCGAGGGGGGGGGAGGCTGGTGTATCCGCAACATGTTATATGTTACACTCTGAATATGGTGTAATTCTTTAACCTTTTCCCACAAAAAATAAATAAAACTTAAATAAAGATTTACCTTTACATTTCAAAATAATAAATGCACATATTTTTGCAGGTAAAAAAAAATGTGCATTTACTATTTATTTTACAACAGGAGTCTGCAAAGTGTTGCACCCGCAATAAGCAGATCGTGGGTGCAATGTCAGGCTTCTGCACACACTTTCTACAGCTATGTGCCCATACCTCTGTATGGGCTATCATTTTCAGAGCTGTAGTCAATGTGAAGGAACTACAGGAGTGCTGATCACAATGCTTGCAATTAAAACTATAAGTCCCATCTGTCACCACGGCAGATGGACAAGTTGTTTCTACGTTCACAGATTCCTGTGAATGCATGATGTGTCTATGTATGCGTAGCCCCGCACAAAATGTGACAGTGGGTGTGGGAAGAAGAACCCCTGCCCACTGTCACAATGAGAGGCAGTGCTGAGAAGGAGAGGGGAGCAACTAGAACATGTTACATGTTACACCCTGAATAACATGTTTCGTAAAGGTGAGCTTATCCTTTAAAGCCCAACTTCGGGAAACTTGAAAATGATCCATTACAGTGGGGCTGTGCCTGCAATGCATAGGTTAATTTCTTATTTAGTTTAGGAGTGAGTTAAAGCATTTCACTTACCTGATCCACTGTTCCCCTGGCAGGTGGAATGCTCCACACTCTGAAGCTGGACTGTGCTTCAGCATCATTATGAACCTGCATTTGTGTTGATGATGTCAGGACCTTAAACCGCTGGAGTATAGGGAATAAACACCCTGCAGGGATTGGTTTTGCAGCAAGTCCCCTATACAATCCAACCCAACCCAAACAATCAATTAGCTCATTGATGTACGGATGCAGCCCTACTGCAAGGGATGATTTTCAAGTTTCTCAACGTTGGTCTTTAAACTTTTTTTTTATGTTTTTTTCATTTGATTTGGTATTTGGATAGCTTTTGCTTGATACAAAAGCCATATCTTTAATAAATCTTAGTAAATCATGCCCTGAGATTCCATCATTTATGCTTTTCATTTTCCAT